AACTGTCTATTCTTTATTTACATAGGAAATAAGTGGAGATTCACCTTGGAAAAAAATGAGATAGGAAATTATTATTGGTTGAGACCACGAATGACGTGGTGAGTCGGGACCATTTACTAATTTTTTTGACCATTTATATGTTTTAAATTAGTCTTTTTTTTAAAAAAAAAAATTTAACAATAGTTCGAGCTGAACGTTAACTGTTGACTGAGATATGATAAAATATGATCTCATAATCTCAAACGATTATCATATCCCAACCATCATGTTAACGTCTAGCTCATAATGTCTTTAATTTTTAACAGAAAATGATAAATTTAGAATATATAAATAATCAAATAATTATTTCATAACTTTTAATAATCGAAATTACAACAAAATAGTATACTATAATCGAAAAATTATTTTATAAATTTAAATAATCAAATTACTCAACAAATTAACATTTGTGAATATTTATAATGGAAGCTAATGACCGGCCAACACTGTCGTTACAAAAATTAACCCATCAAGATCAACGGTTTTGATTTTCTAATCAGACATCACCTACCCTCCAAAAACAAAAGTAAAACGTAGTGATTATCAAATTTAAATTCTTGAATGCCCCTTCTCATCCTCTTTTTCACCAAATCTTGAGAAAAGAAAAGGAAATGCATCAAAGCCCCATCTCTGTTTCTCTTCATGCTCTTCAGATCTCAACTTTGTCTCTCCCTTGAAATTCTCTCCTTGATTTCTCAAATCTCTTTCTTCATCATTTTTTTTTCTTTCAATGTATGCAAAATCCCGTCCTTTTTTTTGTCCCTTTCATTACATGGAAGTGTATAACAATCCTCAAAGCGTTCCAGTCTTTATAAACGCCATTTCCTCAAAATTCCTTCTTTTTCTTCTTCTTGTTTAATCTGTGAAATCCCATCTCCCCCTCCCCTTTGTTCAATCTTTGAAGTCTCTTTTCTTCGAGAACCCTTTTTTTCCTTCTCACTATTGAAAATGAGTAATTCTCAAGCACTCAAATCAACAAAAAAGAAAAGGATTTTAACCTCACTTTCCAAGCTCTCTGATCGAGATACTTACCAAGTTGCTGTTGAAGATCTTGAAAAGACCATCCAATCTCTTTCCCCTGACTCCCTTCCAATGATCCAAAACAAGCTGTAAAGAAAGAATCTTTGATTCTTCAAATGATCCAAAACAAGCTGTGAAGAAAGAATCTTTGAGGTTACTTTCAATGCTATGTAATTGCCATGGTGAGTTGGCAGCTTCCCATTTGACTAAAATCATTGCCCACATTGTTAAAAGGCTGAAAGATGCTGACTCTGGGGTGAAAGATGCTTGTCGGGATTCGAGAGTGGCGCTTTCAGGGCAGTATTTGAAAGGGGAGAGAGGAAGGAATATGGTGGGGTTGTTTGTTAAGCCATTGTTTGAAGCAATGGGAGAGCAGAACAAAGGGTTACAATCTGGAGCAGCGACGTGTATGGCTAAGATGGTGGAATGTGCATCTGATCGTCCTTTGGCTGCTTTTCAGAAATTGTGTCAAAGGATCTGCAAGCTGTTGAATAATCAGAATTTTGTGGCTAAGGCTTCTCTTTTGTCAGTAGTGGCAAGTTTGTCACAGGTTTGTATGATGCTGTTCTTTTTAGCTTGATTCTAACCATTTACATTGTTTAATTCATAGGGATGTAGATGATTAATAGGAACAAATTGAAGTTCTGAAAAATTATGCTGACCTTGTTGCAGGTGGGAGCAATTCCACCTCAAAGCTTGGAAGCTTTGCTGCTAAGCATCCATGAAGGCAGCTGCTGATGCTTTAAGTTCCTTGGCACTGCACTCAAGCAACTTGATTGCAGATAGAGTGACTTCGATGATAACAGTACTCGAGAGTTGCCGCTTTGATAGGGTAGCTTTCTAGAGCCATTTCTCTTTCATATAATTCTTTTTTCCCTAAAAGAAATGTATGGTTTGATTATTAAATTTTGATGCTTTTGGACATGACTGGTCGAAGACCATCTACTTTCTTTTCTTTTAATGAGCTGATCTGGTCTTTGATTATTCTGTTGTAATGTTTAATCATTTGTTAAACAGATGAAACCTGTAAGAGATAGCATGACTGAAGCATTGCAATTATGGAAGAACATTGCAGGAGAAGGGGAAGAAGGGGCTGTAGATGGCCAGAAAGCCTTGTCTCGTGGTAAGCATGTTAGTTATGTGCTCTTAAGTTTTACGGGTTGTCCTTCTGATGTGTAGACTATTTCTCTTATTGGATTAAATTTGTTCCAATTAATGCTGTAGATGATGACAATGCTCAATCAGCTGAATCATCAGAAAAGAATGACTCTGAATATCCAAGTGCGGATGATAAACATACAGTTACGTCAGTTTCTGCTTCCGAAGGCAAAGGTGGAAGTATTACTGACAAATCAGTTGTAATTTTAAAGAAGAAAGCACCTGCATTAATAGACAGAGAGTTGAATCCAGAATTCTTTCAGAAACTCGAAACAAGGGGTTCCAATGATTTGCCGGTTGAAGTAGTTTTTCCTCGTAGATATCTTAATTCTTCAAACTTGAAGAGTGAGGTAGAGTCCAAAAGAAATGATCCAGACACAAAAGGGAGGTTGAGTGGAGTGGGAAACAGTCAGACAGACGATTCTCATCTTCCAGCAGTAAAAACAGTAACAAAGAGAGAGGAGCTGCTGCTATGCGGGATAAATGGCCGGAAGAGAAGGTAAATGGAAACAACCTAAGAAAAAGAGCAACCAATGCTGATGAGATGAAAATCAAGGGGAGCCATCTAGAAATCGTTTGGGTTTCTTGAAAGTGGATGGACAGTCTGAAGGGATCAGCAGCAAAGGAAGTTGGTTAGCTGTCCAGAAGCAGTTAGTGCAGCTGGAGAGACAGCAAGCGCATCTCATGAACATGTTGCAGGTATTTCTCGATTAAGCATTTATATACACTTCCAGATAGTGCTCTCTCGATTTGTAAGATTCCTTCTTATGTTGCAGGATTTTATGGGTGGTTTTCATGATAGCATGGTAACTTTGGAGGACAGAGTTAGGGTTCTTGAGAGAACTGTTGAAGACATGGCTAGGGACTTATCGATATCATCAGGCAGGAGAGGTGGTAGCTTTTCGTCAGCATTTGAAGGATCTTACAATAGACCTTTAGGGAAGTATAATGGTTTTTCCGACACTGGTTCCAAATTCAGCGGGCGAATTCCATTTGGTGAAAGATTTGCCCAGTATGATGGAATTGGTCCAAGTGTGAGGGGGAGGGGACCTACTTGGAGATCTGAAATGCCTGATGATTGGGATTTCCCTGCATTTGGTGCTTCCAGAAATGGGCAAGTTGTATCAAGAAGAGCCCCAGGTAGCAGTAACCAGGATAGTAGATCACCTAAATCGGAACATGAGAGTTATCCGTTTGGTGTCAGGAGAGGTTGGGATAAAGGTCCTGGGCTTGCGAGGCTCGGTGAAGGGCCTTCTGCTCGATGTGTCTGGCAAGCATCAAAGGATGAAGCTACCTTGGAAGCAATTCGTGTAGCTGGGGAGGATGCTGTAACATCCCAATCAGGACGTGTTCCAGAATTGGCTGCTGAAGCTGTTGTTGATGATAACGTTGGACCAGAGCGAGATCCTATCTGGACTTCTTGGAGCAATGCAATGCATGTCCTTCAAGTAGGTGATATGGATTCTGCCTATGCCGAAGTTCCTCTACCGGGGATGATCTCTTGCTCATAAAGCTAATGGATAGATCAGGCCCTATGATTGACCAACTATCAAATGAGATTGCAAATGAAGCCTTGCAGACTATTGTTCAATTTCTTATGGAGCAAGATTTTGTTGACATTTGTCTATCCTGGATTCAACAGATATGGATTCTTCATCTTTGATCCCTTTACTTCAAGTTGCTCTATTTAGACATTTTTCTTTTGTAAGTTCCCAATTAATTTCTGTTTCTGCTTTAAATTTTCACAGGAGATGATAAACGAACAGTAGTACAAACTTTCGATATCACTAACTATTTCTTGTCTTTGCCTATCATCGGAAAACTAGAGAAGGAGAGAACATTTTTTCAAGAATAGTGCATTTAGAGCAAAAGCTAGATTTATATCATTCGGGTCGAATTATTCAAATTTCTATTTAAATTTAATCATAAATATTTATGATACTATTTGATTCACAATTTAAACATTTATATATATATATATATATACATATATTATACAAAATTGTTGGACTCGACTTAAACTTGAAAACTAATATACTAATTACTAAAAATTTCAAGTTACTCGAGTTATTTGAGTATTATTTTGTAATTTGAGCCGAGTTTATAATTATTTGAGTTCTATTTTTAGGGGTGTATATGCACTGAACTTGAACAAACAAGGTTGTTTTCGTGTTCATCAATTTATTTTTAAAGGTGTCAATGTCCGATTCAAATTCATTTAAGATTTTAATATCATGTTCGAATTCGTTTATTATTATTGAAAGTGTTTGTATTTATTTATATGTTCATGTACATGTTCATTTATATGCTTGTAAACATGTTTAGTGTTCGAAAAAATGTTCATTTGCAAAATGATAAAATTGCTTAAAATCTTTGAGCTTCATAGTAATTTAAACTCCATATTTCTCCATTTGTTTAATTTAGTTCATACATTCATCAATATTTATAATGTAAAAGCATAAAAGGTTACTAAGCTTCTAAACGAGCCTTAAACAAACTTGTTTGTGAACATTAACTGACCAAAAACACATTCATTTGTGTTCATTTGTTTATTAAATGAACATAAAAAAATTCATACTCGTTTATTTAACTAAAAAAACGAACATAAATGAATATTACACGATGATTTACAAATAATTAACCAAACACTCTATTCATTTACACCCGTATGTTATAAACATTTAACTCCCCCTATTTTCAGGGTCTGCGATAAATTTTGGAACTAAAATAGCTGGAGGGTATTCTGTATGGTTTGTATTTGAACTATAATTATATGAAAGAAATGGAAAAAGATGAAGGGTGTTATTTGAAATGGACCGATACCACAAACATCAAAGTTGCAGCACAATCCTGCAATTACTGCAAGAAACTAAGGCTAAGCCTGTCAACAGCTGCATAGTATTAAACTGTGAAGGTTACAAGCTTTCAACTTGCTTTCTGGCTTCAAGTTAGGCCATTACACTAAGATACCTATCCAGTATTGACCATGTATAAATATGATCCTGCTTTGTCGCCTGAGGGTTGTCCATGGACTTTCCTGGTGATGATGATGATGCATTTTACAATGCTTCAATCATTCTCAGAATGTTTTCCTTGTAGGCTTGCTTGCCTCTTCCAATAGGATGGCTATCACACAAATTCCAGGAGAAGAAACGGTTCACATTATTGCACACACCGATGATCCATTGCGAGTTGGCACATAGACGATGGCAAACAGGACTGCTTCTAAAGGATGGCCCTGCGGTTTGAACCTCGTTGCATCGCCTCCATCTGTGATACCTAAATTGTATTCTACTGTGGCAATTTGTCAAAATATTTCAGCACACCTAAAGGAAAATGAAGTCACAGAAGCCAGTCATACTTATTACAATCTTATACATTTTCACCAGATTCTTGATCCAAGCAAAATGTTCATCTTGTTCTAAGTTGGCAGAGTTGCTTCATTAAAATTCAGCCAATTTTGGCAGCAGTCGAGCACAATTGAGTAACCTCTGTTTCACCATGCACAAAACCTGTCATTTCCCCAACCTGTTTGCAGAACAGGTAACATTACGCTAATTAGACCTCAGATGATGATCAGCCAACAGTTGATGACACCAAAATACTATAAAATAAATCTCCAGTTAACACTGATAAAAAAGCATCCAACAATGAGCAATGGCATAGCTCAGTTCCATTAAACATGCATCCCTCAGCATCTATATATCATCAACCGATCCGTAGACCGATCTGGCACTAATTTTAACAATGCATATTCATCATCATCAGGATGCAAAACAGTAGGATAAAACCAGCAGGCCTCATTGCTAACATTATTAAAACATAGAATTGCATACAAGATGCAAATCTGATTAATGTTAACAAAAGATGTATTCAAAGATGAACAATACAAAAAAATTTCCTTTTGCATCCCTCAATATCATGTATTTATCGTCAACAGATCATTAATCAATCAGTCACTACTTTTAACAATGCATGTCATCATCATCGGGATGCAGTATAGTAGAGCTAAAAGCCTCAAAGAAATCACCCCACCAATAATCTACAAAAAAAATTTACAACAAAAGACTAGATGAAATTTGAAAAATATATTATATCCCTCAGGATTAGATATTCTTCGTATTGAAATCAGGCCTATCAACTTTTTAAATAAAATAAAAAGATCATCATAGGGATTATAAAATTGACCATAATTACATAATGAAACCTATAAAGGAAGAAAAACATTTTTTTATTGGAACTGCATATTTAATTAAAAAAACGAGAATCTTTCGATCAAAAAAAAAGAGAGCAAAACCCAGAAATAAAAACCATCATGGGCATCCATCGGGTGCCTCAGACTATTATCATCAACAAAATCATGCTATTTTTGGAGAATTATACTTCAAAATGAAGAAAAAACAAACAGAATTTTGAGCCTGTTGAAGAACTTGGTAAGACTCTGATTTGGGAATGAAGAGTGGCCCTCAAGACTTCTAGTTAATTTATAGGACGAGATGACAAGTGGGAATTGCCTGGATTGTCCTCCATATATGATAAAATTACCATAGATAAAGCTTTAGATATTTTCTGATGCAATGGGCTGGTTATGGGTTTTGAGCCCAGGTAAAAAAGGTTTGCTTTCCCAAACGTCAAAGATATGTTCCTTCTACTTCCTGGTTACATTTTGGTTCTCTCAGCTGAAAGTCTCGGACGAAAACACATGCCATGGAATCAAAGAACGAAAATCTAGTGTTGGGTTTTGTTTTCTTAGCTGTATTTTTAATCTCAGGTGTCAAATCTTGGACTGGTGAGATTCATGGCAGGGTTGTCTGTTATATTTGTGCTGATTCTTTTATTGGTCCTGAAGATCATGTTTTAGAAGGTTCCTTTTCTCTTCAACCCTCTCTGTCTCATTTATAATCGTCAACCATGGTTGTTTATCTAAATTCTGAAGTGGGATTTGTGTTGCAATTATGATTCTTAAGGTGTCGGTGGGATTTCAGTTTCTGTGTAAAGATTAAAGTTTGTCCCTTCTTTGATTAATTATTGCTTATATGCTTATGAACTAGAATGATTTAGTTGAATTTGGACCAAGTCAGATGATGACTGGCCTTATTTATATAACTGCCTTGGTTTGATTCAATTTATGCCAAGATTGAACAAAGAAATAAAACAAAATTACCTTTTCATGGTGTGATCAGTTCGCTGTAATTTATCTTTGTGTAAATTGCTTCTATGATAGGAGCTTGGTCGACAGATTTTCCGGTGAGTAAAGGCTAATATAGTGTTAGAAAGGATCTCTGAGCTGTCTCCTGTTTGTGCAACGAATTCGGTTAATATGTTTAAAAGGCCGAATTGTTCGATATGTTGATGATCATTGTTCACGATTTGTTCATCTCACTGTGATGGCTGTTAGCTTTCTTCTTGCTTTGTTGTTTAATTTACTGCAATTTGTGAAGGACAGATCTAGGGTTCCGATATTGTAAATATTGCATTATGACCAACTCATCCTGGTCGAAATAATCGTGCTTGCTCGATAAATTAACTGAGCTCAATATATTGCAAACCACAATTATAGTGTTGGAAGGGGTTTCTGAGCTGACTCTTGTTTGTGTATTCTCTGAAAAGTCTGTGCTAGGAACTTTGTTATTAGCTTAAATGTTAAACCGTGTGATGTTTATGATCTTCGGTTTCAATTTTTTCTCCATCTTTGACCCTAATGACTGTCATGTTAGATTTTTCTCCTACCATGTCACCATGTCACTATACTCATCCCGGTCAAAATGACATCTTTTTCTGCATACTTGGTGAAGCTGGTACATTATCAATCAAAGAATGAAGGTAGCTGAAACTTTCTTGTAGGCCGGAAAGAGTCTCGGGGCATTTTATAAATAAGTCCTTGTTCATTTACATAATCGAGAAAATTATGTCCGGAGTCGATATAACTGGTGAATGGTCATAGTCTAGTGATGGTAGACTGAGGTTTTAGTGCTGTACTCATAGACGAGAGGAAACTTTGTGATCTTGAAGAACCGAAGATGTTCGATATTTTTCCTTAAGCGGTCAGCGGTCACACTAAAATGCAGCATTTTATCCATTGCATTCCGCTTCCACACTTTAACCCTAATTGCCATTGCTGGCGAGGGCTGGATGATGACATCTTTGTTCTATGTTATCATCTTTGAAGTTGTACAATGCCGTTGATGCTTATTCGGTTTGTTCATCTAGTGAATTTCTGACTACTTTAGCCACACAAAATCAGCAGGTTTTCTTTTAGGTCATAACTAAGATTTCCAACAGGGTAGAAACGTCATCAATGAGAACTTGACCAGTTCATCTTATATTTACATGCCGCTAATTCGTTTCGGTGCAGGTGCTGAGGTTGCTGTTCTTTGCATCACAAAATCCGGGGAAGTAGTAAACTATCAGGCTTTTACAAATGCTAAGGGGTTATACACCGTGGCTGAAACGATGCCCGAGAGTGAGCGTTGGGATGCATGCTTGGCCCGACCTATCAGTAGTTTCCATGATCGCTGCAACCGTCTCGGGAACGGAAGCACCGGGATCAAGTTCACCTATAACCGCCCATCGGGTCATTTTCACACTATCCGACCTTTCGTGTATCGACCCTCCACCACCCCGACGTACTGCATTTAAACTGTCGATTGTTTTCTGTGCTTGGGTTGCAGTCATGAATGAGTCACACATTACCATATGAAATTAATGATCTTTAAGGTTGCAATTTAGCCTCCGCTTCTTAGCCCTATCGGCATGTAAATGGATTAAATATCTGTAATTTATTATAATATTTAAATTCGATTGTAGATATTAATTTATAATATATTCGATCTTGAATTATTATTCTTTGCTATATCTAAATGTTTATATTTGATTTTATTCCAAATTTGTGATCAATAATAAAACTTTATATAATTTTGACATACAACAAATTAATAAGCAAATGGATCTCCTCTCTAACTATAATTTAATTATTTAATTAAAATATTATTATAAATATATTATTAAAAAGGCATCCAAGGCCCTTGAACTTTAAAAAAATCAATGTGGTCCTCATCTTTTTTTTTCTATTCAATGTGGCCCTTTGATCGACGTTTTATGTCATTGACCAATTGTTCCGTTAATTCCTGCTGGGTAAATTACATCATTCATCACTTAACTATTTTCTTCACTTCTATTTTTATCGCTAAACTCTAAAAGTTTTCAATTTCGAAAACTCTAAAGACATTATGGACTAAGGCTGTAGTTAACCCATTTTATTTTAAACACAAAACCCATTCATCTCCTCTTGCCCACCACGGCAAAAACGCCTTCGCCAACGCCATTACCGTCCGCCATGGTTAAAAAGGTTAACCATTAACAAATAAAAAAGAAGAAAAATACACACACAAACTACAGCTGCACTTGTATCTGGAGAAGAAAACATTCTGTCTTATTCCAATTGCAAGGATTCTTCAACAGGTAGCAGCCTCTTGCGAGATAAATCGGTAGGGATTGAAGCACAACAGGACGCAATGGCATTTGGAACTCTTGCGGCAGTTACTGATCCCATAATTAATGGTTTTCCCATTGATAATGATGATTTTGTTTTGGATCTCCCCACTGAAGGTTTTGCTTCCATCCCTGAGGCAATCGACGACATTCACCAGGGCAAGGTTTTTCGTTTTCTTGGATGCTTCTTGTTCCCTGGGATGATATTAAAGCTTATATTTTAATTTTCTGCATATTACTCGTTTTCTTGTTCCCTGGGATGGTACTGGTTCTAGATGATGAGGACAGAGAAAATGGAGATCTTATAATGGCGTCGATGAAGGCAGTTTTACCGTGGTGAGGTCAAGAGGAGATGAATGGATTTTGTGTTTAAAATAAAATGGGACAGCCTTAGCCGATAATGTCTTTAGAATTTTCGAAATTAAAAACTTTTAGAGTTTAGTTATAAAAATAGAAGAGAATAAAATAGTTGAGTGATTAATTATGTAATTTACCCAACAGAAATTAATAGAACTATTGATCAATGACAAAAAAAAATATTGGTTGAATGATCATTTTAGATTTTTTTTAAGTTGGAGGACCACATTACTAAAACCATTGATATAATATATAAGTTTTAAGAACTAAAATTATTATTATACTAGTAATATTAGATGTCTATTTTAGTTTTAATGACATAATATTTTTTATAATAATGTTTTTATTAGACGTCGTTAATATTTTTTATTATTTATTTTTATGATCGACGACGATAACAACCTTAGTGTTGGTGTCGATCACCGATGTTAATTTTTTTATTATAGCATATTTTTGTTTTTAATATTTGTCTTTTATGAAACATTTTCTTCTGTCTTTATGACATATTTTTCTCTATCTTTATTGCATGTTTTTGGTCGTTTGGATATTGTTTTTGTCTATATTTTTTTCAATGTTGGATTTGAAATCATCACGACCGATTAAGATTACGTCTTTTGTTATCATATTTATCTTCCTGCTTTAGACCCTCAAATTGAATATGGGTACACGGCTTGCGTTTTTTTTATAGTATTCTCACGTCGTTCGATTCTGATTTGCGATTTGTCGATGGTCTTTCAATAGCTTCATTCCTTTTGTGGTTCGTTTGTAGATGCGATTAGATTTGCTTGTATCTACATTTTGTTCGAGTTTAATTGATTAAGTTTTCTTGTGTTTAGGAAAATATCCTTATTATGTGTTTAATTTATGGTTTATGATTGTAAACCTTCATTGTAATTTATATATTTTATATTTTTAATAAAATTAGCGACTTCCGTCAAAAAAAATATAATAATGATTTAATTGAACGATTAAATTGTATTTTTTAAATGACCTATTTGTAATCAAACTAATAATGTAGGGACTTAAAGATGTATTTTATCCAAAGAGTTAAAGTCAATCCCAAGGATGAATGAAAGACTTTGACTGGTACTGATGGAGGGACCATGCTTACGTGGCGAGACTTGGTTGGAGCATATACGTGTTCCCTACTTTATTCCGTAACTGAAAATAGTCCCAAACAAAAACGAATTTTGATGATCCAGAAACAGAACGAAGCGAGGGAGAGAAATTCCAAGCTTTTTCTGTTTCCCTTTTTCCTCCAGATTTGTTGATTTGTTTCTTTCCCTTTTCCTGGAAGATGATAGAATGGATAAAGCAGCTCAAAACGGCATTTGGTTTGGCGTTTCTGTGGCTTGTTTGTTTGATTTACTACACCCAGGTTCCCCCTTTCTTTCTTCTATTCCCCCCCTCATTTTGTTTGATCCATAGGAATGATAATAAACATGTGAAATTCCATTGCTTTGGATTTCTGTTGATCCCGTATTGGTTTTCATTGAAAGCTAAGATTTTGCATTTATTTATTTGTTTTTTTAGATTGTTGGTGCTAGAACTTTGGATTTGGATACACATAAGAATTTGTA